AAACAGAATGACCAAGGGAAAAAAAAACAGTGGGAGTGGGGGCGACTTCCGACTTCCTGCCAGCTTCCCCATTGACTTTCTGATGCTGGTGGGTGTGTGCATGTGTGCGAGCGCAGAGAGGCACAGAAAGGAGGGTACTGGTGGGTGTGTGCAAGTGCAAGGAGGTTTGGGAAGGAGGACGCTGGTGGACGTGTGCACGTACGGGAGTCCAGGAAGACCAGGGAAGGAGGTGCGACTTTCCCTGCTGGCTTCCCCATTGACTTTCCTTGTGGGAAACTGGCAGGGAGCATTGGAAACGATGGTCACGTGACCATGGCAGCACGGCAGCGCATCAGTGCTTAAGCGGTCACAACTTTCCCAAATTCAATCCAAGGAGAGTAATAGGTCCCAGATTTAGTTAGCCCATTTGAGGTACCTTGGTTGAAAAATTGTTGCCCTATGATGCACCGTTTTGCCCAACTGAAGGTTATAGACATGAGAGTTTTAGTAGTATATAGATTCTCATTGACAGCTTGTTGCCAGCTAGGTCAGATACCAAAAAAAGGTGAACACCAAGGAAGATACCAGGCCACTTACAATTTACTAATAAAGATTTATTTAAAAGATCCCAATATTTAAGCACTGGAGCATTCCATCTCCACACACCCGTGGTGAGCCTGACCAGTGAGGATGGTTTTCCATAGAAATGACTCACAAAGAAGTTCCTTTCATTGGACAAGTTTTACAGCTCCTGAACCTCTCTCTTCCCACCCCCAGAGTTGCTTAATTTAGGCATCAGCAAGGGAAGGTTATACACTGGTGAGGATTTAAGTGTCTAGTAGATATCTAGCTAGCTAAGACAAAAGTGGGAAATAACCTTTTTCTACAACATCCAAACACTGCTTAGCTCACCTTAATCACTGACTGACTGGAATGAAAAGACATATACCACCAACTACTGTGCCCACCCAACCTCTGGGTTGGGTGCAGCATGCATCCAAATACCAGTTGTAGGGGAACAACAGTGGGAGAGAGTATATCTCTATCTACTGCTTGTAAGTACCCCAGAGGCTTCTGGTTGGCTCTGCAAAATAAAATATTCCACTAAAATAGCCCTTGGCCTGACTGGCAGGTTATTCTTATGTTCTTGATTGTTCCCTTCCCTTTGTGAACAGCAACATTTCTTCAAGGCCACGGTATTGAGGAAGGGCATAATGGTGTTAAGTATACACATTAATTGAAATCTGCAATTGCTCTATTTACAAATTTCATGGGTTAGGCCATCAGCCTAGCCAAATCCATGAAATTTGGGGAGCTAAAATAAAAAGGGACGGAGAAGAAAATATGGCTGCAGGTTAGACAAGCAAATTACCCACTCCTGAAAAACAGGGGGAAAATAAACTGTTAGTCCCACCATAAAACACTTAGACACAACAGAATGCTTATTCAGGTACTAATGGATAGAAAAAATACTTGGAAACAAGGGCATTTGAGAACATGTAGGAAAAACTAACATCTCAACAGACAATTCTTAGACTCCTTTGTTCAACTAAAAAAGCCATTATATTCATCCTATTACTTCACCATCCTGACTCCACCAACACACACATTGCAATTCAATCAAATATTTTGTTATGCTAATTACAATATACATTTAATCAGTGTAAATTAATTTAGAGGGATTGCATCCCTACTCCTTTAGGTTCGTCTTTTGCCTCTGGTACCAAAATAAACCAATTTTTCTTGTATCTTCTATCTTCCAACCCCATCTCTATATTCTCACCAACTGCTCCAGTTATATTCCACCCATTAAAGGCGTCTCTCATCTAAAGCATTCTGCACAATATTTTTAATCCAGCACAAAAATCAAGCATTTATTGTTCTCTCTCTGAAAGCCACAGTCACACATTTAAAGCATGAAATCACTGTATCTGGTCCAGATACACCAATTTTGTCTCAACTCTTAGGAAGGATTACAGCTGTTATAAGCTTCTCAAATAGTTCATACCTAAAATGTTTAAAAGATGTTGCAATTAATAGGTCACATGAATTTCTAACTGCATTCAAGATATGACTTGTAATTGCACCATTGTGGTGTTGTGAAAGATATATTTTATAAACTTTTCCAAATAGATATATACACACATTTTTATAGGTGTTTTTCTCTTTTTGATTAAGCATTCCCTTTGATTACTGAAGTAAACCTCACTGCATTAAAGGAACAGCATAGGTGCAAGTGAACTTAACTTATTTCTAACAATAGCCAAAAATGGCTAGAATAGTTTCATCTAGTTCCAAGAAATGTATATGTGACTGGATAGGCATGCATATCTGCTCACATAACCAGACTAGTGAGGATACTTAATAGGAGGGATGGACTGCATACTTAATGAAGTATCTGAGGGTGGAACAACTAGTAACTTTATAGAAGAATCACAATTTATTTTATCTTTGTCTTTCAATCCTCCATTATGTAAGAGGTCCATTTTGACTCTTGATCAGGTAAAATTATCTGAAGACTGATTCTTTTGGGTTGTGTATTAATTTGGTAAGGAAAATAAAATTTCTACAATAGGTCAAAAATCATTTTCTGTCAATTTGCTCAATCCATGATTGAATCAAAAGGTTTGGGGATATAGTTCAAACTCTTCATTTGAACAGAATTAGCAGTGTGCATGTGTGTGTGTGTGTGTGTGT